CTCCTTACTTTATATACACTGCTAACAGCACATGGTGTGTGTATTGTGTGGAAAAGGTATTTTAAACTCTATTTGTAGGGCAATAAATAATTAAGCTATTCTTCTTCCAGCTGATGTGATTTAATGATCTCTCTGTTTGGTATGCTATGACAGTCCTTTGGTCACGCTAAGGTAGAGCTTCATTTTTCTGTCTTTTCCTGGATCCGTACTCTGATTGTTTATTCATTGCCGTAGGATGTCTGCTTTGATGGTAGCCGAGCTAGTCAGGCTGTGGTCAGTAAAAAACCTGTGGTATCTGAGGGTCTTACAAGCTGCTTATGAGTCATGTTGTCCATCACATTTTACATTATCAGCTAAGTACCCATGAGGATGATAGAGTCCTCAGTCAGCGAATGAGAAACGTTGGCATTCCTTGGCTGTAGTCATTCAGCACGGTGCCTTGATGTTACTGGGCAATAAAGTTTGAGAGTAATTTAATGCAAGAGACAACCATTGACAGTATCCCTGAAGATTCCTGACCTGAGAAATGTTCTGTATTAAGGAGACCTACTACAGTTGATGACGAGTCTACATGCGTCACATGTCAACGGCTTTGGGATACTCTTCATTCTATTCGGAGCTAGTGTCACTCTACGCTCACTGTGACGCTAGACATATCTGCATTTCCATGCCGCATGGATGGCGATCGCGGTTTGCAGCATGTCCGTTTAGCCCCGCCTCTCTATGACGCAGTATATTACGAATGTTAGAGTCGCGCGATCATTCCCGGCTTCATCCCATGCCTACACATCATCCAACCAAATCAATTTCAGACGAGATGGGCGATTTCCAACCCTTCCTGTTAGACTCGCTGCTCCTATGATGAAATGAGCGGTTGGTGGTCTCCCTGTAATTCAAGTATTATAGATGTTGGTGTACAATATCGCCTGCACTTGGTATTTGCGGTCCAGGCTCAGCGTATGCACTCTCAATCTTTCCAGTACATGCCGGGGCCCTGACTTGCTGTAGCTTTGCGTTATCTGTGTTGACTAGGTAATCGATTTAATGAGTAGTGAAGTGCTCTTACGGTACAGGAAGTGTCAAACGTTTGTGAGTATATCAAATTTGCAGTGTTTCCATGTCAGCCAATTGTGTGCATAAACTGTCTGCTGTGTGCTGATGCTTATCAAGAACTGATGCTATGATTAAATGTCAGGTGTTTGTGCAGGAAACATCATTAATCCAATGTTTTATCACTGAGTATAGATTGTCTTATGTTAGTTTTTAACAGGCACTTTGGATGGTCCTAATATCGTCGCAGCTGTTCTTGATCTAATCAACTGCTCCTATCTTTCAGCAGTTTCTTTTTGTGTATGTAGGTCATATCTGCGGGATCACCCAAATACTGTAAGCTTTTTGCTGCTTTACTGAACCTGCTTTCTATTGTTTGTATTGACTTTGACAACGTCTAGTCTTGTATTCTTGTGAATTTCATCCACTGCTGACAACTCCCGGCAGAGGGTCTAACCGAGACTGTTTGTGTCTTGATAGCTATGTACTGACTCGCATGTGACGGTAGCCACGCATCAATATTGGAATATAGTCACCTCTTGTAGAAACAAGTAGGACCTCAACTGATGGCAGATATGTTTTTTAACATCATTTGGTTCCCATACCTGAGGATCAGATACAGTGGGGCAAAAACGTATTTAGTCAGCCACCAATTGTGCAAGTTCTCCCACTTAAAAAGATGAGAGGCCTTTAATTTTCATCCTAGGTATACCTCAACTATGAGAGACAAAATGAGAAAAAAGAAAATCAAGAAAATCACATTGTCTGATTTTTAAAGAATTTATTTGCAAATTATGGTGGAAAATAAGTATTTGGTCACCTACAAACAAACAAGATTTCTGGCTCTCACAGACCTGTAACTTCTTCTTTAAGAGCCTCCTCTGTCCTCCACTTGTTAACTGTATTAATGGCACCTGTTTGAACTCGTTATCAGTATAACACCTGTCCACAACCTCAAACAGTCACACTCCAAACTCCACTATGGCCAAGACCAAAGAGCTGTCAAAGGACACCAGACACAAAATTGTAGACCTGCACCAGGCTGGGAAGACTGAATCTGCAATAGGTAAGCAGCTTGGTGTGAAGAAATCAACTGTGGGAGCAATTATTAGAAAATGGAAGACATACAAGACCACTGATAATCTCCCTCGATCTGGGGCTCCACGCAAGATCTCACCCTGTGGGGTCAAAATGGTCACATGAACGGTGAGCAAAAATCCCAGAACTACATGGGGGGACCTAGTCAATGACCTGCAGAGAGCTGGGACCAAAGTAACAAAGGCTACCATCAGTAACACACTACGCCGCCAGGGACTCAAATCCTGCAGTGCCAGACGTGTCCCCCTGCTTAAGCCAGTACATGTCCAGGCCCGTCTGAGTTTGCTAGAGAGCATTTAGATGATCCAGAAGAGGATTGGGAGAATGTCATATGGTCAGATGAACCAAAATAGAACTTTTTGGTAAAAACTCAACTAGACGTGTTTGGAGGAGAAAGAATGCTGAGTTGCATCCAAAGAACACATACCTACTGTGAAACATGGGGGTGGAAACATCATGCTTTGGGGCTGTTTTTCTGCAAAGGGACCAGGACGACTGATCCGTGTAAAGGAAGAATGAATGGGGCCATGTATCGTGAGATTTTGAGTGACAACCTCCTTCCATCAGCAAGGGCATTGAAGATGAAACGTGGCTGGGTCTTTCAGCATGACAATGATCCCAAACACACCGCCCGGGCAACGAAGGAGTGGCTTCGTAAGAAGCATTTCAAGGTCCTGGAGTGGCCTAGCCAGTCTCCAGATCTCAACCCCATAGAAAATCTTTGGAGGGAGTTGAAAGTCCGTGTTGCCCAGCGACAGCCCCAAAACATCACTGCTCTAGAGGAGATCTGCATGGAGGAATGGGCCAAAATACCAGCAACAGTGTGTGAAAACCTTGTGAAGACTTACAGAAAACGTTTGACCTCTGTCATTGCCAACAAAGGGTATATAACAAAGTATTGAGATGAACTTTTGTTATTGACCAAATACTTATTTTCCACCATAATTTGCAAATAAAGTCTTTAAAAATCAGACAATGTGATTTTCTGGATTTTTTTTCTCATTTTGTCTCTCATAGTTGAGGTATACATAGGATGAAAATTACAGGCCTCTCTCATCTTTTTAAGTGGGAGAACTTGCACAATTGGTGGCTGACAAAATACTTTTTTGCCCCACTGTATTTGTCCGGTTGCTGTTGGCTCCCTCACGTAGCAAGTCCTCGTCGTCCTCTCCATCTCCTCCAACAGATAATGTCCCTCCTGTCTGTTTTTCCTCTCCCGCTACTCCATCGCTATCAGAACCAGACGGCCTACTTGGCTCCGAGGCCCCGCGGCCGGCACCGCTGCCGCTCGGTACAGAACTCAGCTGTCCTTCCTCCTCATCCTGGCCTACAGGTTTAAAATAACCTGCAAGCTTCGACAAAACTCCTTTTCCCTCAACAATTTCCTTTTCCGAGCGCCACTCTCAAAGTTTTTCTTCTCAAAGTTTTTCTCCTAAACAACCTTCATCTGTCACTCAATCACTCGCGATTTGAATAAGTTACATGTGCAACGTATTCTCATTCTGATTGGCTGTTAAGTGGTGCCCACTGACTGTTTCGGAGTCATCATTTTTGAGAAAAATCNAAACTCCTTTTCCCTCAACAATTTCCTTTTCCGAGCGCCACTCTCAAACTTTTTCTCCTAAACAACCTTCATCTGTCACTCAATCACTCGCGATTTGAATAAGTTACATGTGCAACGTATTCTCATTCTGATTGGCTGTTAAGTGGTACCCACTGACTGNCGGAGTCATCATTTTTGAGAAAAATCTCTGGAATCCATCGATCTGATTGATTAGCGGAGCAAATGATCAAAATACTACGGAGGGAAGATATTTTTGTTTGGATTACTGGTCTGGGGGAAGCTCACGAGTGTGTGTGTGTGTGTGTGTATACGCGTGTGTGTTTGTGTATTTTTGCGTTTGTGTGTATTGTGTTTGTTTCCCGGGGAAAACACTCACGAGAAACACCGGCTGTTGTTATGCCTGCTGTGACGTCAAGTTACTCCGTTCTCCGCTTGTAATTAAGACGTTACAAGCTTCAAAGCTGTATTTATCATCTGAATTTGCCGAAACAAGTTTAATATTCTGAAAGCCAAGACTTTGTTTATTTTAAACCAGATGAAAACAAACTGTAACGGACCCTGCCGTGTTATCTATGATTACGATACGCCTTACATTCATCATTTCAGCGGAGGGAGGGGAACAGCAGAACGGCGAGGGAGAGCTGTCTTCTTCCCTTTACAAGCTTCAAAAATGTATTTATCGTGTGATTTTGGAAATAAAAGTTTCATATTCTGAAAGCCAAGACTTTGTTTGTTTAACATTTTAAAAAAACATCCGAAATAAAAAACTTTTTTTATTTTATTAAAAAAAATTTATTGGCTCATGATAGGCCCCTGATCTCCGTAGGCCCCTGGGCGTCAGCCCAGGTCAGCCCGTGCATTAAGGCAGCCCTGGATGACGTAGTATGCTTGAAATAGTGGCTCTAAGGCAGCTTTACTCGACATTGAGAAACTGAACTTTTTTTATTTAGAGTATTACTCAGATTTCTGAAACCTAGCTGGAGTGAATATCACAACTAGTAACTTCACACTGCAGGAAGTTAACTTCAGCAAAGCTGTCCAAGGGAGAAATCGAGTTTGTTTAATTAGAGCTGCTTTTTCACTTATTTTAGTGAAATAAAGAATTATCAATGTTTATGCAAGCCATCAAATTAGAACACCTTTTTATATTTCCCTGCAGCTTTTATCAACTTTGCAAATGTAGATAAAATCCAATTATCTAACTAAAATGAAATTCTAATTTAGAAATACTTAATATTCATAATGCGTTGCTCTTACTACTCTAAAGGATAACAAAGTGATTACTCACTTCTTCCAGTTTCCAGCGGTTGATGAGGCGTAGATATGCTCCAGGCCTGCCAGTAAATCTGTCAAGCCAGAAAAAAGATATAACTTTAAAAATAAACTATTTATCTTTTCTTTCAAAGACATTTTACCCAAGACACCTGTTTTAAAATCCTGTGCTGGACTATTTATGTAGGGGTGTGCAGTGTTTAATGCCTAAGAAGCCTTAAGGAACATCCAAGAGAACCGTTTACATTGTTTTAACACAGGGAAAGTGTTGTAGAGAATATGTAAGTTCTCCAGGACTTTCTCACCTTCCCAAGAAGAAGGCAATGTAGAAAGTTGAACTGTTGAGGTTGACGAACTGGAAAAGGAACATCTTGAGAGTGAAGCTGTTCTCCCACTCAGACTCTGTCCTTGGCTGTTCTGTGGAAAGAAAGCAGGAACAGTGAGATGAACCGATGACATACTTTGTTACATAACACATAAACTGCAAGAACATACGATCTGCTGGGACAGTCAACTTACCTAAATTAGTGAGAAGAAGAGCAACTTTTTCATAGAGCTAGAGAGGGAGGAAGTTAAATAGTTGTTTTATTGACTAAAAACAGCCTATTAAAAGGTCTGTTATTATTCAACCCAGTCTCACGGCATTTCGTGTTATCACGAGATAAATGCAATCTATTGATTCGTGTTCACCAACACTATTCTCTCATTTGTTTCGTGTCACAAAGAATGATCTTAAAAGCAATGTATTTCTATTGGTAGTGTGTTTCGTGCCTGCACCACGTCTTTTTGTCCGGTCGGGTCTGGAAGACCAGAAGCTGTGGGGTTCATAAAAACATTTTCTTACTCAAGCCATGATTATTGTTTTTATTTTAAATTGTATAATGTCTGACTTTATTTGCCATCCGTGAGGAAAAGAAATGGGGCTCAGAATACTGAAATCTGTATTTTTAAAATCTTTTTTTCCTTGTTATTATTTGGGGCGAAACATCAGGCACGAAACATACTACCAATAGAAATACATTGCTTTTAAAATCGTTCTGTGTGACACGGAAAACATGGGAAAATCGTGTTGGTGGACACGAATCAATAGATTACATTTCGTGATTATAACACAAAATGCCGTGAGACTGGGTTGTATTATTATCAATGCCTTTTTATCATTTCACCTGTTCACTGATGACAGCAGACACTCACCACGTTGAGGAGCATTATCATGCAGAAGTTGATGCACACTGCCGTTCCCGTGGTCGCCACCTGAGAGTTGTTCCTTATGAGAGCCCAGCCGAAGGCGGCAAAGGTGCTCACGGTGATCACTCGGTAAATTACAATGCCAAACACAGCGGCAATCACCACCAGTATCTGTAACACAATGCAAAAGATTGACCACATTGTATTTATATGATGAAAGTATTTTGTTGTACAGATACAATTAGATTAAAGCGCTGTAGTAGGAATACAAATGTTAATTCCTTTAGTAAGTGTCATGAAATACACACACCAGCTGCTTGACATTTTTTTGCCCCAGAAACTCACCATGAAGAAGATCCCAGATGCCGAAACGATAAGTCGGCTATATTTGTCAGTGAAAGCTTGGTACGGTTCAGGCTTTCCAGATATAGGGTTCATCCTCTCCTTCTTGGAGTATTTGGCCTCAAACTGAGGGCGTATTTGGTCCTGAAAGACAACGGACAAGACACATGTGAGCAAAAGATAGCAGGGAATGTAGAGGGCTTTAATCCACATAAGGCTATCATGTAAACAGTATTTCTGGCTAAAACCATCAGAATCTGTTTATAAACGCTGTCCTTTCTTCTGTTCTGTACAACCAGATTGAGAATCACTTTCACACCGCCAAACCGCAATCTTTTAAAGACTCTAAAGATCTTTCATTATTGAAGTGTTATAATGGTATGCTTTTTTTGAGTCATGAATTGATTTGAACTCCCTTGGGGCAGGCACTCAGTAAATATATTCCGTCAAACTAGTTTAGAGCCAGAGCTGCTGTGCAGGCAACAATATTGTCAGTGTCAAAGCCAAAGAGTATCAGGTTGGCTGAATTGAAGTGCAAGGAAAAAACTCAATATAAATATAGATGGTAGCGAGTTTCATATTTGTAATGACTTTCCTGCGTTCAGTAGTTAAAAAAGTAGCTACAGAAATACAATGTCCACATGAAGAACACAATCACCTCCTCTTCCTCCCAGTCAATAAGGTCCCAGTCATATGCAAGGACAGCTCTGCGCCTTTTCCAGAACTCTAAGAAGACCGTAGCTGAAACACATTAAGAAAACATATTCAGGGAATTCATGTGAACCGTACTGAACTCCTCATTGTATCTGATTTTACAACCTTTTACATATCCGGTAACGTTCAGGGTCCATGATGTCTTTGCCGAGACACATTTTCAAGTTTCCTTGCATGAAGTAATTCTGGAGGATAAACCCTTAAACAAGTAGGCATCCTCCAGGATTTGGAGTACATGCAAGACATGCATATAGTTCTGTGAACTGTTGATGAGACGCCACATTATCTCTTCTTCTTGAAAGAGCAACATTTTTTTTTATAATCCATACCATATTCAATAACATGAGAATATTGAACATGTTATACATAAGTCCAATATTTATTTCCCTCACGTTTTTGGTCTCAAATACAGTCCTGAGGGAAACTAAGCTAATAGCAGCTAATTGCTCCACTTTGCTAACTGCTAACTGCTAACTGCTAAATGCTAACTGTGTCTGTCTGCAATATGGTGCGAAGCAGGTATTGTGCCACAAGTTTTTTTTTTTATGGAAATAAGGTTGGTGGAAATATTTAAGTAAATCAAACAATAAAAGTGCGGACTGCTAAACCAAAACATAGCTGAAAGACACTAAAATGCTTTGTAGAGCTGAGGGTAGTCAGGTGATAATTCCCTATGGGTTTGCCACGACAACGACCACTTTCACATTACACTGAGTTATCTGACTCATTTTCAATACAAACATATTGATTAGTGCAGCTTTAACCTAGCAGGATAGCACCACCCTGGTCAAAATGTCAGTATATGTAACTACAATTTAACAACTGTGTTCAGCATTTCATGTTACATAAAATATTCTGTTGGAGGACGCTCCCAACAAAATGAAAAGGTAAAATTGGCACATGGAGCTTTGATGATGCATTACCCAACAGACAACCCCTACAAAGAGAGAACAGTCACTATCAGCTTAAAAAAGAAACATTTACAAAACAAAATTCTCAAAGAAAGGTGAAGGCATAGTAAAATGTTCTCTGTGCATGTGATGCTGACTGACAAGTGATATCTAGTGAAACCAACTGGTTTAAAGCCAAGATAGTTAGACTGTGTGAACCTGCCTGTGTTCAGGCATGGAGGGAAGCTATTGCTGAACAAAGTCCTTTGAATAGCTTACTGATTGCACAACTAGCTGCATCTCCTCTCAACTCTGAAGCTTCTATTCTCAAACCAATACTTGTCTTTTTTGATTTTCTCTTTGGTTTCCACCTCCGTACACAGAGCAGCATGGGGCACCACTTCCCATGAGGAGGCAGCAGGGGAGCACACTTCTAAAGGAACCCTAATGAAGGGATTTGAGCTGCAGAGCTTCAAATATATTCATTTAGACAGCAGATTCCAAGAAGCAGTTACTGTAAGGTCAGTACCGAGAGCACTTTCAGACATTTGAAACACTTTAATCAGGATAAAAATGTTGAACTTGATACTTATTAGTTATTTATTTTAGTGTGTCTGGCATGTCTTCACAGCTGTGAAAACAGCTTCATCTTCCACAATTCTCTTTAAAGACTTCAGCTATGCTAGTTTAATATCATGTTGACATTTTTTAAGTCAGATTATTTGTGTGACGATCTGTGAGTGTGTATTGTCTCTTTCTTGTGCAGAAAAGTTTTTATATATTTACCTTTTATTTGGAAAAACTAAGACATTTGGTTTTGTCTTACTTGTAACTTATACACTTGTCTTTCAGTTGCTGTAGTCTGTCACAGTGAATTACACAATTACTCGTTCAACACAAATTAAACTCCTATTTCATTTTGCTGCATGCCGTTAGTTTGCAGTGAGCTAAGAGTTCTGTTACGTAATAAAGGTTGTTAAAGTTAGCTTGCAGACAAGATAAGAGAGATAAAGCGAGGGCGATAAAGCGAGGGAGGCCTGTGGCGCAGTGTTGGTGGTGTTGGGATCAGGGGGTCACAGGTTCAAACCCCACTGCAGTCAACATGTCGTTGTGTCCCTGGGCAAGAAAGTTCACCCCAAATTGCTCCTGTGGGGATTGCCCACAGTATTGAGTATACTGTACTAATGTACTGTAAGTCGCTTTGGATAAATGCGTCTAACAAGTAACGTTTAAAGTAATAATTGGATATTTAAAGTTCAAATTTGACATTTTTACTTCCGAAAGAAAGATCTATTATAACGCTGATTGGATCAAATTGTCTTTAACCCATTATCATTTGTAAATGTTAGTACCTTAAAATCACCTATATTTTTAAGGTACTGGACTCCCCAGCATTCACAGTTCACACAATTTAAAATGCAAAAAAGATAAAAAGCCAAATCGAAAAAATGAATGTGATCCTTTTAATGTGCAGAAGAAATCGTTATTCATTTAAGAATATTAACACAAGCAAACGGCTGTTCCCGGCTGCACAGGGAGGCTCCTGGAGCAGCGAGGACTGACTGATGGGATTTCTGCAGAACCCAAACCTGACCCAGCCAGAGGTCACCCACTGGGAGTCAACTCCACTCCTCTCCTCAACTGGTACTGTGACATTTATCATCAAAGCTCATGTTACTTTAAAAGAGATCTGCTGCTGTCAGTCAAAGTGATTACGTTTTTTCACATTTTGACTTTCCTTTGACTTTACACTAGTCCCACTACATCTGCAATTTGCAATACAATATTTATAAGTGTGAAACTGATATGTTTTCCACTGTCCGAGTGTCTGAATTATTAACACACATTGATACAACAGGGCCTTCACTGTAGATGAAGTTTAACACATAAAACATGGCCTCACTTTTGAGTTCCGTATTTAAGCTTTTGGAACGATGTTTAAATGTGTGTAATTTGCCCAAGAGCTTAAAAAGTACTTTGCATGAATCTTAAAGGTCCACTGTTATACTTTAGATGCAAATGAGCGGCTGCTGGCCACGCCCCTCTGCAAGATGATTGGTTTAGAAAAACACAATGACGCTCTAGGAAGAGATTCAGGTGATAAGGTTATGGCTTATGGTTGAACAACCCTAAAAAACACAAAGTGGCCAAAATCTGATCAACTCATTTTCAGACAGGTTTTTATATAAATGGATCAGGACAAAAAGAGAGAGGATATTTTTTGCACAATAGGTGACCTTTAAGTATACATGAAAGATGTTCTGCTAGTGTTTGTTTACTGCCTTTGTATTAATCTACACAACCTCATTAAACCTCCTGTGCTCTTTCCCCGAAACAGTTAACAACACCATAATCGTGCTGGGCGTGTTGACCTTTGCCCTGCAGCTGTGTTTAGCTCTGCTCTTCATGCTGAGATGTTGGAGATTTGACAACAGAGTACAAGAGGCTCTCAAACACCCGGAGACTGCTGGCAAACTCATCGGTGAGCCTTTATTGCTAGTTCTTGTTTTAGAATGGTCATTAGAAAACAAATGATACAATTGAAACTTCACAAGTGGTATGACTTTTTAATTTGCAACTAAAATACTGAACTGATGCCTTAGGTCATGTTTTGTAGCATATTCTGTATTAGTGTTATAAAGATGTAATCATGTTTTGGCATGGAATAAAGTGAGAGAAGCAGCATGAGTTAGGTATGTTGTGAAAGCAATCTGACTTGAAAATGGCCTGTCATCAAATTGTATTTTCTTCACTAGAGTCATTTCTAATTTCTTCTTTATTTCTATTCCTCAGCCCTCTCATCCTTCCACATAGAAATATACAAACAGGCCAGCTTTCAGCTATGTGGCGTAAGCGCTGCCACACCATCACCGATCATGACAGAATCACCTGAAGAATATGAACCCTTCAAACACCACCTGTTTGCACCTTCCATACCCTGGGACCTTGTTCAGCGCTAGTTATTGATGATAAGAGTGAATGCATCCTTTTTATATAATGTACAATCTACATGAAATGCGATACTGTGTCTTTTAAAGCTGCAATGAGTAAGAAATTGAAGAATTTAAATGTATAACATAAAAAAATGAACTAAAATAAAGGTGAAGCTGCACTTTTGATATGAACAAATGCTAATGTGTATAACTTGGAAAGTGTTCATAGTGACAAGAGAGAAAATGATCCCCCACTGCAGAACATCCCCTAAATTCTAAGCTGCGTTTTAGCATCTTTCAGTTTATTTATTTAAATTTTTACAGCCTGCAACTTAAATATTTTGCTTCAGTCTCACTGCTCTTATCAGTTACACTTACAGTAGCAGTAGGCTCTGATAAATCTGCAAGTTTCAACTGAGCTAAAAGAAAACATTTAGTAAATGTGTTGTTTTTTTTCTCTCAAAAAATAATCTTGTCCACACAAGCGCTGTTTTAAATATCTCCAGCCAGATTCAAACATATCAAAGTATGTATGCGTTAAAATATAAAAAGTCCTGTTTGGAGGTTATTGGGCCATGTCCAGAGTTCACGGATGTTTTAAAGCCGGCATTGTATTTTATGTGGCCTCATTACTTAAAGAAGAGTTACAATTGCCAACGCTGAAGTTTACAAGCCAAAAAATCTCAGTTTTCCCATATACACAGCAAGACTGATAACTGAGTTTCTGAAATATTGACACTTCGGTTGGTGACATGTCAACATGAAATGTCTGTTGTGCAACCCCTTGTAGCAAAAATACCTGTTAATGCATTATTAGTACATATCTAAGGAGCTTCTCTAGGAGGTAGGAGTTTTTTTCAGAAACGTCAGCTGTTTGACTTACCCCATACAGCCATGAATACAGCAAAGAAGACTGTTGCACCATTGTCAAACAGATGGGTGACCTGAGAAGATACAGGAATATGACGAGATGCCACAAAATGTTATAAAAACAAAATGTAGCTTCAGGTTCCCAGTTCATACTTAAGCAGTTTAGCATCAATCACTGACCAGTACATTTCTGAACACACCAGAGATATCTTTAAATAAATTATTTAGGTGCCTTATCATTAAGGGTGAAAGTGACATATTAAACAAACATTTCCATTAGTTAAAAAGTGCTAATCACTTTTCTAGGACATAGGATATGGTGTTGGTGTGTGGACAGTACCTTGGCGTAGATGCAGCTGTCTGACAGCCTCAGGTAGGGGCAGTACTGGTCGCAGATGGGGCACATGATGATGTCTGTGGCCTGGCAGATTTCCTTACTGAAGGACAACATGCAGCCCATTAAACTCTGGTAAAGTTGGTATTACAATATCCAGCAACATAGTACTAACCCAAACCGATGCCACTTCTTCTTCTGAAAAAGTAATTTGATCACACCTTTTTATTCCGTGCCTCTGAATAGTGTTTTTAAACTGTGTTTTATAAAGTGATGACAGAGCACAAATGCATCTACATCCTAAGTACGCACATTTTGTTTCCAGATCACATTTAAAGAAAGCTCAAGCTGACCAAAATGTCATATGACAACATTTTAAGAATTAGTGGGCGAAAGTTTGTTGTTTACCATAAAGGAAAAAACATGTGAAAATTAACATTGAGTTCCTGTTAAGAATTTACTTTAAGCAAAGAATCCTGAATTTCCTTTTATTTTATATTGCAAGCTCAAATACTATTAGCGATAAGGGACATATCACATGACGATGCCTTATCCATAAAACCAAATTGGCTGTGCATTAAGAACAGTGACATGTCTTCCTTTCTAAATACCATTACTTATCTGGTCTGTGCTTGCCGAGTACATCTGAAGCATAAATCAAGGCTTATTCTTCTGTAAACTCTAAGAATATAATACAGCTACCTGCTCTGGGGACACTTACATTTATCAGAAAAGAGAGGAGGTGTGTTTACCTGACCTGGCAGTGCTCTAGAGTGAAAATGCCGTACAGGAATACAAAAAGGCCGACCAGAGCTGCAGGAAACAGCATCCCTGTGTACCAGCCTAGCCAGGCGAAGTACAGACCAATCTTCTCACCAAAATACCTCCTGAAAGAACAGCAGAGTAAAAATGGCTTGTCAAATTCAAGATGTAATGCGCATGATAATAAAAAGGGGCATTGTGTAGTTTTCAGGCATGTCCACTCTACTACTTGTTCCATACAATCTAAATAAAAGGTGCAATTATTACATATCTTTGTAGGTCGATCTGGAAGTAAGCATCGCAAGGGCTCCCTCTACAGAAAGCAATGGGATTTTGGAATATTACAGAAAATAAGATCTGGGGCAAACACGTTTATGAAGCTAACCTATTTTGTTAAGCAGGATAACCTCTAAAACCAGTTTCATGAAAGTTGAAGCGCATATAATTGCAACAACTATAGCCAACGTAATGCTGTAAACAACCCAGTCACATGGCTTCACTTCTACTAAGCTAAAGGGAGCGTTAGCATGATGAGGTAAAGTAGCCTCATTTAGTCACTGTTAGCAAAGACATTGAAGGCTTCTCAATACTCTAATTTCCCCTCCTCGACTCCTATCCTCGTGTCTTAGTCCCGCCCACAGGAGATGCGAGCGGAGGAGTCGAGGAGGGGAACCGAGGAGAGAGAAGGGGAAGCAGCGGTTAGAGAAATGAGAACTCCTCTCCTCTGAGTGGTCATTTTAAAGAGATGTCCGTTAATGATGAGAGGAGGCACAGCAGCACTCTGTCTGATGGACAGAACTGTGTTCATCACATATAAATATTTGACCTGAGAACAGTGAGAAGCAATTTTTTTCACATGGATTTTAGTATACCATTGAATAATGACTGAATACATAAGCTTAAGCAACAAAACATTGTTTATTTTTTTCAAGGATGTACTTAACCAAGACCAACAGAAAAGTGCAATTTTTGCCATAAAGTGTAGCAATAGCATATTTAGGAATATAGTACATTTCAGAGATTCAGGTAGGTAGACCTTCTGTAAACTATAACACTTGGTTTTTTAAGTATAACACAATACTTTCAAGTACATTCAGAACATTGGAAACCCTGACTATTAGAAAACATCTCTCTGTTGCTTCAGAGGCCATAACAGACTTTGTTGATTTACCAACAGTTGATTTAAAAAATCTAATCAATTTCAGTCCAACTCTCTCAATAACCTTGGCCAAAACAATAAACAGTTCAACATAAAGTGCCAGTTGCACCAACAACATAATAAATAGTTCAACATAAAGTGTACTGTACCATTTAAAATAAAATAAAAAAGTGCCAGTGATTGACCTCAATCCCTCCTATTCTTCCAATATCCTGATGAAAAATAAAATCTCTCTGTTGCATAGGCCACTGTTTGATCAACGCGAATTGGGTGTGGGTCCTTGTACTC